GGAAGAGCCAATTTGATTTGGTGAAATCGGAAAAGATGATTACGTTCGGAGAAGAATATGAAGATTGGAGAAGAAGAATAAAAAGTGGAAGAAGTAGAAGAATAAGCTTGGGCCTTTTCACTATAACTGGGCTTCGGCCTTTGTTTTTGATCTGAGGCTTGGGCCTCTATTTACTTCTTCTTCATCTTCTTCTTCACACGGCTTGCTAAAGTATGGTTTATAAGTTGATATATTTTGATGTTTAAGATTTAAATTTTTTACTAAAAAAAATATTATAGTGAATTAAGAATTATAATCCTAAATTAAATCAGAATTCTTAAAATAAACCGAGCTACTACTGAGTTGCCGGTCCTTTGAGTGGAGAGCGGAGAAGGGAGATGCTACAGATCGTTGGAGGAGGGTTTGTCTAAAGTTTTCCAGGTGCGGGAATTTTGTTCTTGTTCTTGTTTTTTTTTTTTCAAATAAATAGTTTCAAAAGTTCTTTTTGTTAATCTTTATATCCCGGAGCTTTATGACTTTTTAATCGCACATGCACTGAGAACAAACATAAATTTCCTAAAAAAGAACAAAATAATCTTCAGTGCTGACTGTTTATATGGCTATTAGTAATTGGGATATTAGATCTTTGATAAGCTATATTTGTCCAAGCTTATTTTTCAATCACAATGTATAGTATTTTACTTTCCAAAAAAAATAAGGAGATATTTGATTCATGGATTAAAATCATGAGATTAGAATTATTTTCAATTTACATGTATTTTTTGTGAAAAAAAGTACGAATCTCCCAACCAAACAACCCCGTAAACAAAAGAATTTCTATGTGAAAAACAAATGAAAGGAGGCAAGAGGTCCTACCGGGAGTCGAACCCAGGTCGCTGGATTCAAAGTCCAGAGTGCTAACCACTACACCATAGAACCCTTTTTGTGTCAACTATTGATAAAATATATAATATTATATAAAAAAGCAGCAGTTATGACAAAAATGATTTTTTGCTTCTTTTTTGTTTGTTTGTTTGTTTTTGTTGTTGCCTGAGAACGGTGTAAATGAATTATTTGTCTTTCTATTTTTCTTTGGAATGAGTTGATTTTATTTGCAAACTTTTTCCACCCAACCAAAACTCCTACGAGACAAACGACAAGGAACAAACAGATTAATTGATGTTGGGCGACATTTCCGCAATTGTGCAATAAATTCAAAGGCTCGTCGGAGTCCAAGTTCTCTCAAGCCCAAGCTCTCCCGAGTCCAAGCGCTCCCGTGCCCAAGCTCTCCCGAGCCCAAGCTCTCCCGAGCCCAAGCTTGCCAGAGCTCAAGCTCTCCTGAGCCCAAGTTCACTGGAGCCGAAAGTTCAAAAGTCGTGTGATGTTATCAAGTGAAGTAACTGACGCTAATTGAATACATTGAATGGTTGAAAGTTAATTCTCATTGATTATTTATCAATTTTTACTCACAAAAAGGTGAAGAGCCTTATTGCAATTAAGAGAGACTAAACTCTCGAATTAATGGGAGAATTAAACTCACTCAATCCTAATGTACTATAAATTTCCTCAATTTGAGAGGAAAAGAAGGACACTCATTTTTTTGAATACAATTGCCTTGTGATTGTCTTCATTTTATTATTTCCTTCACAAGTTATTTGTGTTCTTCTAATTTTCTTAGATAATTTGCTTATTCAATTTAAATTATTTATCTAGAGATGTTAGATAAGTATTGGACGAAATTTTGCTCCAACAATTAATGTTTATCAAGAGGTCGCAGATCGTAGTGCTTTGACATTTGCAAGGAAAAAGCCAGCGTCCTTTTTCCCCCCTGGCTTAAAGTGTAATCAACTATACTTAAAACGGGCAGGTACAGTTAAACAGAATAAAACCAAGTTTTTCAGCTGGTTGTTTGTGAGACGTCAAAACATGATTTATGATTCTGATTTTTAAAATTTAAATTTTTTATAAGAAAAAAATACTGTAAAAAATCAAAAATCATAGTTCAAAATCAAGAACGAACCCTTAAACAAACATCCCATTGATAATTGCAAATCTTTCTGCCTTGGAACCCCATGCTTGATAATTTCCATGCACCTATCCATTTTCAAGTTGAAATATGCAAAATTAAAAACTGTAATGTAGTTTAGCATAGGGTGAGCACACTTGTTTGACCATCTGGACAAACACAAAATTGGCCATATATCATACAATGGCTCTACGAGTCTGTATATTAATTTTGTATATTTGCCAATAACTTGGAAGGTAGAAGAAAAATAAATGAAAGAAAATTGCTCGTTTATGCCGGTCTATCCACGCAAAATGACAATCCTCAGTCGACCCTATCAGAATTTTCCATGTGCCGCTATAAAATTAATTTGCTGCAAGAACTTACAACATAGAAAACTACCAAACATGTGACAACCCTGTACTACTACTTTCTCGGCTTCCCTCTTTTCCCATTTTTACCAAATTTTTTACCCTTTGAAGATTTGTTGTTCTTCATATGAGCAAGCTTGTTTGCCTTTTTCTGCCTCTCCTTCCGAACTTGCTCAATGTCTTTGATTTCAGAGCGCACATGAGCATTAGGCACAAAATGCTGCTTCCTGCCCCCCTTAAAGTTTCTCTTATTACCTTCAAAACGACGATCCGCTGCAAATATTAGCATGATAAGTTAAATTACGATAATGTATAATCTATATCCGGTCCAGGCTTTTGACACTACGAATGGGAATGGAAAAATTAGAAATCTAAAACAATGCTAGACCTTCACTTACAAATTATACTTAACCGAGGTAAACCAACCCATTTGATAATAAAAGTTCCCTATCGAGTGTACGCTTTCAGTTAAGTATATCAGGGAAAATGAGCCTACAAACAGAAAATTACCCATTGGTCCGTCAGCATTCCCTTCACCACTTCCTTTAAGTGATATTTTATTGTGTGAACGTTCTTTCCACTTCTTGTATATCCCCGTTTTGTTCGCTTTTACTTTTGCACCGCTCTCCGTCTTGACCTAAACAATTAGAAAGGAGGATTCACAGTCAGGAAATTTCAAGATATAAGCCACACTAAGACCTTTTGCAACTTCGAATTGAGAAAATTTAATCTATTTGACACATGTCAAACAACCGTCCAATAGAATCTGTGGAAACAAAAAGTTGCACTACTTCTTGCATGCCAGACCATAAAATTCAATTATGAAGGATAATCTGAACTCGGAAGAACAAAAATAGTTCAAAGAGAAACTCAACATGAGTTGACAGATGTGCTTCTCCTGAAACCAGTAAATGTCTAAATAACACCTTAATCGACTTATTAAGGTTAAAGCATAGAACATGAAGAATTACCTTTCCACTGGCAGTAACGCGTTCGCCATTGTTTAATTTGACGTACTTTTTACCTCTCTGCCACCAAACAGTTCCATCAGGTTAAAGGCAAAGTTCAGAGAGTACGATAATAAGAAAATGAAAAAGTAAATGTTCAAAATACCTTGTCCCAGTGATATACAGATTTCTGTCTCTGCATTCCCGCGGTGTCATCAGCAACTAAATCTAAGACAGCAGACTCCAATCTAAAAGATAAGGAAGTTAGTTCACTCCAAACCATATACCAAATAAGAATGGAAGAATTTTATTTTAGTAAAAGATAATAAAAGGAAAAGAAAAGAAAAAAAACATGCAACAGAGTAAGACAATCAAAAAGTGCACATCAAACATTACCTATTTGAACCAAAATCCTGGTTAGACCTTACAGAGAGTCCTGCTTCGGTATGCTGGAGAATAATAAAGGACACGAATGAAACAGTCAGGCGGGCATTTGATTTCGAGAACAAGTGGAGAGGAAATTTAATTAAAAAGAGAATACTACTTTTTTACATAACATACAATTGGGATTTAAAATGAAAGCAAATTAAAAAAAAATATCGGAACAAAGATTAGCAATATGGAACTTAATAACCTACCTGATTTGTTGGAACTGAACTTATATAGTACTCCTCGTCCTTGAAGCTTCTTGCCTTCCGTTTAGAGCCAACTTCTAACATCAAGGAAAAAATTTTCGAAAATCAATATTGCAGTAAAAGAAAACACTTATAAGTCAATGAGACTTCAAGTCCTCAAGACGTATGGGGAAGAAGAAAAACACAATTTTGCTTTCACGCTCTTCTGCAATTACTTAAGAGGGTAATTTCTTAATTCATGGAAAAGTAATAAATACGACTTGCTAGAAAGAAGTAAACAGGAAAGACATATCAGAGAAAGAAAGATATGTCATAGGGACAAGGGAAAAACCTTTTTTATCCTTTGCTTTTGAAGGAATTATTTCACTTTTGACTTCCTGCAAATACAAAATATTCAGATAGCTCAAAAAATAAATTCCGTAGGGGCCACCATATAGCAATCAAAATCACACGTCAAACTCAAATTAGCTAATAATTATCCTCATTCATCATGAGGTTCTCCAATAGAAAAGGCTACGCTTGGAAGAAAAGAAAAGAAAAGAAAAACAAACAAACAAAAATACTTCAAAACCATAGCATCGCTAGATCCACCTTTTCCACATTATTGTTCGAACGCTGCTGATGGACCAAATTAATTATCTGCTCATGAACAGCTCTTTTTTTCTTCATCACGTCAACCCAATCACCAGAAGGACCCTGCAGGAAAGCCATAAGTAACAATAAGTGAGGAAGACATGCATATTCACAGGGAAGCTTTCAAAAACTGTGCTCGGGGACTTGAGGTTAAGCAATATGAATGAGGAAGAACAACTTAAAAGCACAAAGCCAGATCTGAGAGTGAAGCTAGCTTTAGGATATAGATACTTCAAAGCACAAGAAAAACTGGTGTCTGAAAAGTGACGCTAAGATTCAAGACAATGAACTCTCAACTTGAAATGACTACAAACAATAATCGTAAAGCAGGGAAGTGGAAAAGTAACCTTTAAATGCTTAGATTTAGCAGCTTCACCTTCAGCTTCAAGTATGGTCATCTTTGGTCTAGCACATATTAGATCAGATTAAAACATGAATATCCAAATCTCAGAAAGAGAGAAAACAGGAAATTGAAGAGTGACAAAATGCTATACTCCTAACCTAAATTTCTTCAACCGCTCAGAAAAGGCCAATGCCATTAATTCTCCGCCAGCAAGAAGGTTTTTAAAAAATGGATGCAACCCTTCACGGGGTAATTCCTTTGATCTTCTAATGGATTCCTTTGAAGGTAATGGTTTTGTCTTTGAATATAAACGAAATGCATTCGTACAGGTTTTGGTCAAAGCAGTCAGCTCTGCAGAAGAATCAATGACTTCCCTGACTCTATCTGAAACAAGATCAATTACCGTCTGTGGAAAACGGCCATAAACAGTTTCTCCATTAGCATCCGCTTGATCAATCTTGGACAGAACACCATCCATGTCCTCCAAAACCTCCTCTTCAGTTGGTGCCGCTCTAATTGGTTTTGAGAGAAATAGGTGAAGATCCAAAACGTAAGCCATATCCTCAGAGGTCAAAAAAGAAAACGCAGTACCCTTCCGACCAGCCCTAGCAGCTCGTCCCACGCGATGCACAAACATTTTAGGTTTTGGTGGAAAGTCCCAGTTTATGACATTATCAAGCAACGGAATATCAATACCCCTGGCTGCAACATCTGTGACAATTAGAAACATAGTTTTCCTGGCCCTAAACCTTGATATATTGATCTTGCGCGCTTCTTGATCCATTTCTCCATAACAAACAGAAGGCTCAATACCCTCTTCTCTGAACAAAATATTAAGAAACTCCACATGATGTTTTGTCGATACAAATATTAATGTCTGCTCATCTGAACTAATTTGCTCTCTCACCAAATAAAGCAAAGCTGCGTGTTTTTCTTCTTGCCGTAAGGTGAAAAAAGAAAGCTTCAAGTCAGGGCTAATCTTGGTTTCCAAATCAAGCCGCACAAGCTGAGGGTCTCGTAAACCAGCCTTCGCAAACTCAGCAAGGGCACTCGGTAATGTGGCGCTGAAAAGCAAGGTTTGACGATTCTCACTCAGCTGTGTGAGAATCTTATGCAACTGCTCGGCAAAACCCATGCCGAAAAGACAATCAGCTTCGTCAAAAACAACATATTCCACGGTGCGCAACGACATGTCTTCTACCTCAGACAAATGGTGCATGAGCCTACCAGGAGTTGCAATTATAATATCAGGATTTTGGGCTAACTCTTCAAACTGACTTTCCATGCTATCACCTCCAACTAGTAAGCTTATACGAAGATCTGTAGTAATAAACAAAAACATCAAACTATTCTTTTTCATTTAAATGATTCATTATTTTGTTCCACTAAATATATCATCTGGAAATTCATTTCTGTCTAATAAACAAATCCAAAGTTCTACTTATCAAACAACGGACAAAGAAAGTCATCTCAAAATTTTCCACGTAACAGACAATAGAAAAATCATTTTTCACTTCTTATTTCTCTTTTCTTTTTCTTTTTTTTTTTTCTCTATCCCTTCCTCCACTTTCTTCGTAACCAAACAAAAGGCAGAGTTGAATCAAACCGAACCCAATGATAATCCTAGAAATCAAATGAATTAACCAAATTAACCAAAAAAAAAAAAAATCTTTGATAAAGAAATCCTTAATTCTAGTAATCTAAAAGTTCATTTTAAGTGATTCATTATTTTGTTCCACTAAATATATCATCTGGAAATTCATTTCTGTCTAATAAACAAATCCAAAGTTCTACTTATCAAACAACGGACAAAGAAAGTCATCTCAAAATATTCCACGTAACAGACAATAGAAAAATCATTTTTCACTTCTTATTTCTCTGTTCTTTTTTTTTTTCCTCTATCCCTTCCTCCACTTTCTTCGTAACCAAACAAAAGGCAGAGTTGAATCAAACCGAACCCAATGATAATCCTAGAAATCAAATGAATTAACCAAATTAACCAAAAAAAAAAAAAAAAAAAAACTTTGATAAAGAAATCCTTAATTCTAGTAATCTAAAAGTTCATTAAGCAAAACAACATATCTAAACCTTATATGAACCAACAAAATTCTCCCTTTTCTCTATCCTTTTCCACCACCTTCTTAGCAACCAAACAAAAGGTACAAAAAACGAATCAAACCGAAACATACCAATGACTAACCAAACGAAAAAAAAAAAAAGAGAAAGAATGAAATAAAATACCAGTGAAGCGACCGAGGTCCTTGGCGAATTTGAGAGTCTGAAGAGCCAAATCCCTGGTAGGAGAGAGAATGAGAGCCCTAACGCCGCTCTGAGGAACATGCTCCTTAAGGCGCTCGATCATGGGAACGAGAAAGGCAGCCGTCTTGCCGGAGCCGGTGCGGGCCATTGCGACGACGTCGTTTCCGGCGATGATGAGAGGCATGGTCTTGCGCTGAATCGGAGTGGGAACTTTGTAGCCCTTGCGCTTGATTCCTCGGAAGACATTGGGGCTCAAACCTAGCGACTCGAACCCTCCCGACTTGGCTTTCTTCTTCTGCTTCTCCCTCCGCTTAAGCTCCGCTTTCGAGCTCACCTGGAGATTTTTCACCATTGGAGAGCTCCCTTTCGAGCTCAATCTTTTCTGTTATTTGATGCACAGAAAACTGTATAGCTTAAAGCTTTGAATTTTGATTGAATCTAACACTCAGTTTGCTTAAACCCTAATTTTTGTTGGGGGTTTGGCTCGGCCTTTGCGTTTGGGTGGCCAAATCAAATGAAGGCCGCATCATTCGTGGTTTCTTTTTGAAGATAACGATATGTCGTTTCTATGTAAAAGTTTGATTGCGTTTATTATAGAACGACATGCGTTTTTCTCATGCTAGAGGAACTACTCAATTTTCCGTTTTTCTTATATGATAAAATGTCGTTCTCATTTATTTTTTGCTTGAAGTGCATGTCGTTTTTATGTTAAACTTTCCGTTTTCTCGTACAACTAACTATATGTCGTTTTCTGTCTCTTGTTTTTCTTGAAATATTTGACGCGTTGATGTTTAAAGAGAAATTTGACGTAATTTACTACAAAAGGCCGTGTTTCTGATAATTTATGCCTTTCTACTTTCTACTCCCACGTTCCAATTCGCTATCGTTTATGTTAAATGATATGTATAATTTACAATGAGTTCTAGCAATTGTATGATAGAATTTCTACTGCTTATGAGAAAAAAAATAAATAAATAAATACTGTCTTCTCATAGCCTGTCGTTTCGTAAAAACACCACATACAATTCGTCTGATAAAACTTGCGTCGCTTATTAATAAACGACATTCAGTTTATCATTATAAATCGACTGTATCTTAGCTTAAACTATACTGTCGTTGTTCAGTTTTCTGGCGTTTTCCATTAAATGACATGTCCCTTGCAAAGAATATTTGCTGTCGTCTATCTCCAAAATCGATATTCCACTTCTAGTCTACATTTTGCGGTTGTCTCAAACATTGAAGCAATATGTCAGTCATTTTCTATTCAAAAATCCACGTCTTTAACGAAAACGACATAATTTCACCTGTAAAAAGACATGTCATTTGTCATGTTACTTCTCTAAAAGCGACAATGCTTTCCACTAATGCACTTCAGCACATAATGAAAGAAAATAAACATTATCATTCATTAGTATTAAACCATTTTCTTCAAAAGGCAACGTAGCAACCCTTTAGCATCTCATACTAAAATTGGGCTAATCTCAATGACATTGTAAGATGAAAGAAACATTAAACAGTGATTAGTCACATTCCAAAGCATTAGTACAGAATAACGAAAACGACAAGAAGGACACGGTTTCTTCATTAATTTCTCCGATAGAAAGGCAGTAAAACACCACACTTGGCTCGCCTTTATAAAAGGCAAGGATATTTGTACAGAAGAACGAAAACTACAAGAACACGGTTTCTTCATTAATTTCTCCGATATAAATGCAGTAAAACATCACACTTGACTAGCCTTTATAAAAGGCAAGGCATGAAGGATGTACTTGAGGCACCTGTTTGGACAATCATTTCTAATTGTTAAGTGTTGATCCTCAACCAGTCCTTGTAAATGTACGGACCATGAGATAGTTACAGAAAATCCTATAATATGGTAGCGTGGGTATCAAGAAAGAGATCAATGGGTTAATGCATCAATAAAGAGTAACAACTTGAAAATTTAGTTGCCACTCGGACAAATTACCTAGAGAAAAACAGAATTCAGGTTGAAAAATGGATTGGGGGTAAAGGTTTCTCATCTTTAGAGGATACTAGCAAGTTATAAGAAGATACGCATTATACTTTTGGATGCTTCACAACGAAAGCTGAGCCTGCAAAATAATAAGAACCTTACTAAGAAGAGAAGTCTACAATATCACACATACTAGCACGAGCAAATATTTCAGCCTTGTTTGAAAAGTCATAAAGGGGAAAGCAGGACGGATAAGGGTGAGAGGATTAGTGGATGCCTTTAAGGTTCTCTGATAAGAAGGATTAGAGGACAGAGTGGATTGGGTGGGGGATTCAAAATCCTCCGCAGAACTCCAATTTTGATTCTTGCCATATAGGAATTAAGAACTGGAAGAAGGAAACCATACCAAACACAACAAAAGAAAATTCCTCTCCTCCTCTCTCCATTTTCCTCACCTAAGTTATGTCAGTATCCTTCCTATTTCTTATCTCTTACCAATCACAGCCTCACAATACCTTGGAAATAATGTGATCAGGAAACATCAAACCGAACAATAACACAAGTTATGTTGTCCGAGCTCCCTCGCACATAAGCTTCCTTTATGAGTTTTCTAGATGCCTCTTCTGCTTCTGTTATCTCCTTTACTATAGCCACTGCATCCTGGATAACACAACGAACGCTTCAATATATGGGATATCATAGGAGATCAAAGTACCTTGAAAGCTTGAATACAAGCAATTTACTGGATCTAAAATCATAATTTCAAGCCTATATTTTTAAGAGAGAAAGAAAGGTAGTAAAATTTTCTGCGCGCAGTATAAATTGTTCAAAACATAGCTGTTATGTGAAGACCCTACGAAACATAACAACAAACTTACAACTTGTCACAAGGACACACCTTATTCGATAGGACATTCCAAAGTCCATCACTTGCAATGATTATAAAATCGACACCATCTATTTCTTCTTCCTAAACATTAAAGATACATATGATGAACACATTAAAAGTCAAAAATTCAAGGGAAAAAGAAATAATTGCAAATAACCTTTCAGCTTGTGCCTTGCAATTTCAGGTTAATTACCTGTATTTCTGGTTCAGCAACGACATATGGTTTGAGAAATTTATCTCCAAAGGCGCGAGAAACAGCCAGAACACCACCGACCCGCCATGTTCCTGTTAAGTTTATAAACACACAAGAGAAGTTAAGCATAGAATTTCTCAGTGTAACACTAGACAGCAACATAGGTTATCCATGTTCATTGTCCAAAATTACTGCTATATATATGTCTCATATAACATGACTTCCCCAGTACAAATCACATCACACTGACACTCTTAAATACTAAATGAGCGACTAGTCTGACATCAAGATCATATATTCTAACATTAAATGCGCAAAATGTAAAAAATATATCAAACACATGATAACACCTACTGTTAAATCGAGCATGTGCTATAGAAGACGAGTAAAAACAACTTGCCTGCCCAAATAATGAAGCCTCCAGCCTGCTCAATTCTTTCACGCTCGTCATGTCTGTCGGGTTTGTGATCATTGGACAACGCGATAGCTACAGTGACACAGAGAACTATCAGATAAGCAGCAGCAAAAAGATATTACTGCAATTTTTTCTAATACTCGAGGATAATTTTCTCTAAAGCTACCACAAAACCATTACTAAAAGGGCTCTGAAATGGATAAATGGGAAATCAATTCACCAAACTAGGCACCAATAAATCGACCATTACTTTTCTTTTTGTCATTGACCCTTTAATCAATAATTCATAATTATCAGCCCTAATAAGTCCCATCCTTAACAGAAAAAGGCAGCAACCTGAGCCGGCTCTACAGGCGACTACCCTCGAATCTCCAACATTCGCAACAAACAGCCTGTCCCCTAACAGCAAAGCAGTCGATGCAGTCGAGCCAGCTTCTTTTAGCTGACCCTTTTCTTCATTAAGATAATCCGCATCCGTTTGTCTAAATACTTCAACTGCTTAAAAAACACATCTCTATGTCATGATCCACATAGAGAGCAAACGAACAACAAAAAGAAACAAGCTCCATACAAAGGTGACATAGAAAACATCCATTCACTTCATACCAATAGCAGTCTTTGTGTCTTTGATGAAATCCGGGTGGCTACTTAGATTCTTGAAAAGGTTGTTCTTGAGGTACTCCGCAGTTCTGGAACCACCATGACCTAAAATAGGAGAAATGTTTAACCAATGAAAGCACACACCGGCTATTCCAAAATTTTGCCAAGAGCACTGCTGTTTATCTCCGCATGCGTATCATTAAAAGAGAACTATCACATGAAAAAAAATATATATATGTGATAAACGAAGGATATGGAAGTGAGAATTTGAGGCCATACCATCAAAAACCCCAAAAAATGCAACCATCTGACCATCAATTTCTGATATGCTCGTCTCAAAGAAATCCTCCATTGAAGCTCTTTTTCCTTTGAAACTCGAAAATCCATAGCTGAATCTCGCACTACGACTCCCACTGAGAAAACTAGCCCCCAACAAAATGCCCATTAACAATTGATCATTTTCGCCATTTAAATACCAATTAAATTGCAGAATTTTACAAATAAATCTCGTAAGTAAAAAAAAAAAAAAAAAAAATGTTTCAACTTTGCATAGAATTTCGTATACTTGCATCTATAATTCCAAAAATCCTCTTACTCAAAAAACAAACAATAAAAGCACCAAACTTCGAATTCCATGGCCAACAAAATTCTAATTCCAACAAAAAGTGGAAATTAATCAAACAGGATAATTAAGCAAAAAAAAAAAACACAACATTCGAATTGAGAGTGGAAAGCAGAAATTACAACTGATAAATGGACAAAAAAAAAAAGAAGAGAAAATTGGAGTAATAAAGAATGAGAATCCAAAATGAATGGAGATGGGAAAAGGCACCTGATACCGCCACCGCTGTAGAGAGCATCTGGATCCCTGGAAGACATTACGACGTCGTATTGTTGAGGTTTTGGTTTCGGATCCTCATCGGAGACCGCGCTCACGGAACTGCTTTCAGACTCTTCTTCTTCTTCCATGATTGTTGTGGAGTTCATTTTCTTTCTTTCTTTCTTTCCTTCTTACCATTTCTACCTACACCTTAATAGGTTTATTTATTTATAATAATTTATTATATTACACATGAAGGAGATTAAAAAATGTAATTAATTAGTTATGAGTGATTATGTGAACGTGATGAATGGTTAACCATTAATTATTTGCTTCGCTTTGGATTTGATAGTGTCCAAAGGCCACCTTTTACTTAAATCCTAATTTAATCATTGACCTGTACCAAAGCAAATGCTTTTTCACCGGTTGATTTGTTACGCCTTTCATGTTTTCCTCATTTATTAATTAAGCAACCAGTTTTATAAGAGAAAAAGAAAACTTTTTATTTCTATTTTCCTTTCTTTTTTCTGTTGAGGAAATTCCCTCTTTTTTTGCTTGGGTCCGGAGAGGAAATTTCCTCATTTATAAAAGGGACGTTTGTTTTTTATATTCGTTCTTGATTCTGAATCATGATTCACAATATTTTTTTTCATAAAAAATACATATAAAATAAAAATAATTCTGAATCATAATTTTAAATACATAAATTAAACATCCTCAAACAGACCATAATTAATTTAAGCCGAAAAATCAACCAACATGAATCATGATTTCCACATGTTATTTTGTTTGTTTTTTCCTCTTTTTTTTTTTCCTTTTGGTTCTTATACATTTTCTCTCTCTTAGATATTTAACTTGTAAAGAAAAGAAAAGGACCGATTGAATAAAACAATCGATTTATGTAACAAATACAAATTATAGGATTAGCAAAAACAAATATAAATTATTTGTTTCTTCTATTATGACCTGAAAACTTTTTACTTTAGTTTTCCTTTTTTATTTCACCAAAAGGTCATAAATAAAATATTTTAGTTACTATAACATGGACAAGACATCAATATAATAATTCCCTAACATGTAACTTTTTATTACCCTCCAAAAAAATGTTTTTTCTATTATTAACACGTGGTTCTCTTTTCCTTCATCATTACTAAAAGCCTTTGATGTTGGCTAAAAATTTAATTATATAGTCCCATAAAAAAGCAAATTTGACTATAGAGATCCCGGTTATGGTTAGGAAATAAATGTTGATTGCTGCTTAACAAATTTAATTAGATTTCATATTTTACCTGCTAAAATAAAATAAAATAAAAAAGTAATTAAACAAGGAAGAGTCAAAAGGAAAATCAAATGTCCATGAAATAACGTAACTATAAAACAATTCAAGTCAAAACGAACGACATCAAGTTCGACCGTATAATTTTGTCAAATCTCATCTTATCTTAATTCTTATATACATAAAATAAGCTTGGTTAGAGGAAACAGAAACCACGTGGAGAGCTCCTGTGAGGCAAAAGATTTATTAAACATTTTTAAGATTTTTAAGATCACCATCAGCATCAGCAACACCCACTTGTTGAGGCATCAGACTCTGGAGGCTTTTCTTTGAAGATGTTCTTTTTAACGCCAGCTGAGCCCTCGGCCAATAGACTTGGAGTTTCCAAAATCTGCCAACCAAACATTATGCCCTTCGAAATTATAACTAAACCCCCACTACAAATTTTCATCAAGTTTGATTCGATATGAAGAAGAACTAAAATATAACATAATACTTCTACTAATTACTGCATCTTTCAAGGCTTTAGCATAAATGGTCCCGGAATTGTTTAGTATGTGACAACTTGCTACTCTGGAACTTTTTACTTTTGACAAAAACACAGAAGAGAGGTACTTGTGACACTTGGTCCTTTTTCCAACAATTTTAAGAGTTTGGGGGTGTTTTATGTCAAAACTAAAAGTTTGGAGACCAAGTTGTCAACTACTAAATAATATGGGGACCATTTGTGCTTAAGAAAAAGGCCCTATCTTCAATTTTAGAGTCAATGAACTGCCTCTCATTTACACAAGTTCCTCAGGATCCGAGACTAAACCAACAATTAAGAAAATAATATTGATCTCCAAAGTTGGATCAATTTATCAGAGAGATGTTAGCTTCCATGTAAAGTAGAGCAACTTCACTATAAACTAATGTCTCGAAAACATAAACTGGTTTGTTAAAAACCCATTAAAATGCGAGTGTTTTACTTTAAATAAGTATTTGGTAATAGCAACTTCAGTTTAAATTTGCTCAAACAGAGAGGGGCCAGGGATTGAGAAGAACCATCCTAACTGATATTTATTGTCACAAACAAAGTAAAGAAACAAGTACTTTGGTACAATATGAACTGATTTGTATTGCTTTTGACCTTAGACATATATTAGGTTCCAATAAATTTATGAGATCCAACAGTTCAAAACTGCATGGCAACGGTAGAGCATTACTCAAAGAAACATTGACGATAACATTTGCATACCTTTAATACTAGCTCCTCAAAGCACTGCTCCACATTTACTCGAGTCTTTGCACTACATTCAAGAAAAAGGCATCCATATTCCCTCGCAAAGTCAATCCCCTCCTTTTTGCTAACAACTCTCTCACTTTCCTGTTAGAGAAGATAGCCTATAAGTACATGATAGGTACCTAAAAACTATATCCACAATATGCAACTCCACTGCAAAATAAATTTTCCACAAAAATAAATACTACCCAAGACTCACTACAACAAATTGACCACACAAGTATATGATACCCAAGAGGAGGAAAAAGATCAACAAAATTCTACCTGTTTCCTCGTAAAGTGGCACAGACCTAAATGTGAAAGGTAGGAGACATACCCTATCAACTTTGTTGCCAACGAGCATCTTGATGCAATCTTGATTTGTTGAGTATAGATCAATTTCCTTGGCCCATATATCAGATAGATTTGTGAATGTTTCTCGCCGCGTTACATCATATACTGTATAAGTATTCATAGATAATTATTCAGTATATAACAATCTTCAAAAAATTTAAAAGCTACAAACATATAAACAAGAATTAAAGTAATTCTAGAACCAGTTTCTTCCAAAAACCAATGCGTGGTTGCTAAGGTTCATTGCTACATAAGCAGTTCAGCAACTAATTAAAGGGCAACGCTTTCAAAACTAAAACAGCAATGCTACTTCTGGTTCTAGTGGCCCATTGATCGGAAAAGGAATATATAGTTGTGTTAGACAAGCTTCGTTCTAAATTATAATCATAAACTTAGGCACGGTGGATAAGCTACTTCCAGACTACACGTCTACGTATGTGTAATCAGTCATGAAAAGTATGGATCAATAAGAAAACCACATAATTTTTCTTTTGATTATAGAAATGACAGACATAAAGCACACATACAACTGAACATTGTAATTGAATCGGAAGCTTACAAGCAAGAAATCAGAAGACTGAGATGAAGAGGATTACCCATAATAATTCCTTGAGCGCCTCGGTAATATGAACTGGTAAGTGTTCTAAATCTTTCCTGTCCAGCTGCATGATAAGTCAAAAAAAAAGTGAAACACTCATATAATTGACAGCAGCAATAGAGTTAAACTTGCCTAATTAACTCGAAAAAAGTAAAATGCAATTGCAAACTAAACCATGGAAAAAGGAAATAGTATATCTACTCTATCATATGTTTTGTTAATCTGGTACATGGTACACAATTCACGTAAGTCATTTTTCATATGTTTTCTTACATGCACTAAATTTTCTAGTCCTTTAGAGCTTACATGTATCATATAAATATTTAATACTAATAGAAAAGCTATAAAGTAGGAAAAACAATACATAGAGCATCTCAGTAACATGTGAAAAGACTTTAGAGTTGCACGAAATTCGCCTTCTACATATAGAAGTTGGTTTTCATGTACCTGTCGCCTCAGTAAAACAGGTACCTAGTTAGTGCCTTGAGTCTTGAGTATGACTAACTTGCTCTTGACTAGAATCCCTTCTTCCTTTGCTTTTCCCCTTTTTCTGCCTGTTATTGTTCAATTCTCACCTCTAATATCACGCTTAATTATTAGATTAGTTGGTCTCCTGATCCCACACCAACATAAAACTAATCCATTTCCACCATCACAATATCATGTAGAAAACTTCTTCATTTTTGATAAACGGACAACACTTCCTAAATGTGATTTTCTTTTGTTGTTAAAATGCTCATGTGGAAACATGACCATAAAACCAAGGAAAAAAAATAGAGTTAATTATTAAGACAGAGAGCATTACCTGTGTCCCATATTGCAAGCTTCAGTTTCTTGCCATTAACAGTGACATGTTTTATCTTAAAATCCACACCTAACAAACACAGAATCAAAACTTTTTTTAAGAAAACAATAACTATAGATAATCTGGTACATAAATTACAATTCATTGACCCTGCCATAATCCTAATATCTTTCTTGTTATATGTATCGAGAGACAGTGGGTTTTTAACATTAGATTAGTAGGCTTTGATCTTCCTGCGATTTGGCATTTTCGTCCTTTAGTCTTGGCTCTCTGCAATTATCTCCAATCTTAATGTTATTGGGGGTTCTATTTTAGACGAGACAATTATGATTGTTTTAGCACATTTGCACCCTAAACTTCTCATTTTTGTTCTTTCATCCCAGAAATTTTATTCATTTGGGATCTAATCCTTGTAGTACAGTCAAAATCCCATTAATTAGAGACTCAACTGCTACTATTTTAGAAACTCATTTACTAAATTGCTACTATCTCAGATCAGATTGTAAGCTAAAATTTTCATGAGAACTTCTCAAACTTCTTATAACTAAAGAACTAATTATCAAAATCCCCAAAAATAAAATATAAAATATAAAACGAATGTAAACAAAGAGTGGGAAAGTGATAATCTTACCAATAGTAGGAGAAAGATCCTCAAAAGCATTGGAAGTGAAACTGAGAAGAAGAGTGCTCTTCCCAACTCCAGAATCCCCAATCAACAACAGCTTGAACAAGTACTCGAATTCCGTTTGTTCACTGGAAGACTCCATTAGAATTTACGCCCAAAGATTTAGAAAAATACAAAAATAAAAAATGGAAGGCCTAGATCTCAAACAGCTTATACAATATATCTATTATATATTTATATATAGATATATGTATAGAGGTGAAAGCGAGAAAAAGGAAAAGTGTTGGGAAGAAGTTGCAGAGATACGAAAAAAGCTCTAAAGTCTTCTGAAGAAGACACGACAACGAGTGATGATTTCGGTGCTTACGGGAGCACCCATTTTATAGTGAAACCGACATCTTTATTCCTGTTATTTCCACGTGGCGTGACAGGGATGCCATTTGCTGTTTCCCTCGGCGTTGGATGAGAGACAATCCAACAGCCACATTTTCAGGCGCTGGATTTACTATGCGCTCTTAATTTTAGTTGGTTGATTGAAATTTTTAATTTGAGTTGGATTTTAATTTTATATGAAAATTTTTTATTATAATAAAAAAGTTAGATATGATTATTTTTAAATGTTTTTTATTATAATAAAATTTAAATTGGTGAAATGAACGAAATCTTAATTCTTTGATTTAAATTTTTAATTCAAAATGTAATTTTTTATGATAATTTTTTACTATAACAAAAAAAATTAAAAATATTTTTTTATGAAAATTTTTTATTATAATAAATTAAAATTAAAAACTTAAATCGCAGAACTAAACAAAATTAATTGAATCACATACTATGCATGTGAAAAATCATTTTATAAATTTGATCATATACTCTTTTTAAAAAATAAGTCCATTAGTTAGAGCAAGAGAAAAAAAAAATATTTCAAAAAAAATTAAGTAGTAGAAGCATATTTGAAAAAAAAAATTGTTTTAATAAAAAGAAAGCGAGGAAAAAAAGTATTTTAAAGAAGAATATTGTAAAAAAAAAATTGACAAAAAATATTAACAGAAAAATAAAAAAAAAGACAAATGGTTTAAAAAGGAAGAAAAAATAAAAAAATTTAAAAAGAGAAAAAAAGAGAAAATTTAAAAAAGAAAACATAATTGAAGTTAAATTATAATTTTTGGAGAGAAAAAAACTATGAGAACATATTTAAAAGAAATTATTTTTATTAAAAAATAAGAAAAAGAGTTTGTCTTTTACAAAAAAAAAAAGAGTTTTTAAAAGAAAGATATTGTAAAAGAAAAAAATGTCAAAGAATATTAGGGGAAAAAATTAGGCAAAAGAATAGAAAAATAAAAATAAAAAGATTAAAAAAAACAGAGAAAAAAAGAAAATAGAAAAAAGAGAAAATAGAAAAGAGAAAGTAATAAAATTGATTATGTATTGTTTGATGCTTATAGGTTTCATTTTTTACCTTTTCTTTTTTATTTCTCTTGATTTTACTATTCTTTTATGAGTTTAGTTTAGAACAAACAAGAAAAAATTAATTACAACTCATTTTAGAAAGAGAAAAGGAAAAAAAAAAAAAAAAAGCTTTAGAGTAGGACAAAATAGACAAAATGAGAAAAAAATACTTTAAGAACATGATTTGTTTTATTGTATTAGAGTATCGTACTGTATAATAATATATTAGTACAATGTTTAATATGACTATTGTATTATATAAACTAATACGGATGATAAATTTATATAGTCTATATCGTACTATAGAATAAGACTCATTTTTATCCTATTGTATTGTATTATTTTATAATGGATTTATGATTTATGCCGAGATTGAGTACGACTTTGGTCGGGATTAGACTGACATAGGGTCATACCGAAACCTGTAATTGTTTAAAAATGAATGAGGCACATTGCAAATTTATATTTTTAAAACTTATATTTTGACACCTCAATTTTCACAAAATTACATTTTGGTCTCAAAATTTTTTAAAAATTATTGTCTTTGAAACTTTTGAAAAATTAAATTTTGCCCCCAAAATTTTTAAAAAATCTATATTTTGATCCCAAACTTTTTAAAACTTTACATTTTAACCTTAAAATTTTTAAAATTTTACATTTTAACCCCTTATACAGTACATGGTGATACTAAACACTGTATTATATTATAACAATATAACTTAATACAATACATTTTATACCAAGGCCGGCTCAAGCACGTACGGGGACTTAAACAAAATTATTAAAAGGGGCCTTGTCAAAATGAAAAGAATATATTTATAAAAGTGTATTAGAAATCCGTTCTTGTCTTTTTAGATGCAAAATTATAAATTAAATTTTTATATTTTTTTAGTAGATATATTTTTTAATAGCTTAGATTTAAATAAAAAACTAAATAGAAAATAAAATACAAATAAAATAGCTATTGTGAAATTCAGATATTGATCAATAAATTGACAAAAAGAAGTAAGAAAGAAAGATATAACCTAAAAAATGTTGAGACCTTGCAAAACTCTTGAAATGATGTTGATGGGTAGGAAAGTAGGGAGAGGTAGACGCAGGGTAATGATAATTTTTGTTCTTTTTTTAATATTTTTTCTCTGTGTAAAATAGACACATGTACATATATATTGTAAGTAAATATTCGAGTCTTTTTGAGGTTCAGTGTGCTTAATTTAAAAAAAGTAATTAGTTGGTTATCATTTAAAAGCAGTTGATTTTGTTTTTCTTTTTAACTCATTGTTGTGTCTAAAAAGAGAAAATCCATTTATGTGCTTCTAAAGACGTTCTAGGCTCTAGCCATTTGAAAATCGTTTTTCAAAAAAAAAAAAAAAAAAAAAGAAGGAAATTGTTAATGCATACTAAAGAAAAAATTTTGACTATTGATCTTCCTATTAAAAAAGCTAATTATGTGCAAACAATATTGAGATTCCAACTACACGATCTTCAATAAATAGTTTCCATAAATTCAGTTACGTTTTTCCTGATTTAATATAAAACAAATTTGTTTTGCATATATAATTAATGAGGAGCTTTAGATAAACGGGGGCCTTAATTTAACTGGGGCCATAGGCAGTTAGCTAAAACCTAAGGGTAGAGCCGACATTGTTTTATACAATACAATACAAACTACTAAATATGGCCTAAAAAGCTATATATTATAACCTTTTTGTTTAAGGAGGATTTTATGGGAGTCTTTACAGTGTCGTTTTAGATCATAATATCGGTTTATGTAAGAATACTTGTTCTGTTTCATAATTTAATTTATAGTTAATACTTGTTTAAGAAGATCATATTAATTAACTATTGTCATTTTGGATTATAGTACATGTTAATGTGAAGAGTAAATAAATGAGTGAATATTTAAACTTCATCTCTTGTTAATTTCTATCGACGTTTTTGAATCATGGATTTTCAAGAAGATATTACATAAGATGTCTATTATGGAGAGTCTGAATCTAAAAATGTCTATTATTATACAATACTGCAAACATGTCTATGTATGCTTAATAAGACATATTTTATATCAGATTTGCCCTCATGATTTATTTTGGGCATGTTCTTTATATGAACTCTTTTTATTTGGTGGCTTTATTTTTCCCGATAATATTAAGATTTTTTTTTCTGATTATATTGTGATTTTGGCTTTCCTTTTCGTTGTCATTTAATATTTTGTTATCAATGTATTGATTTATTCTTAATATGGTCTTTCAAATTAGGAGTTTCTCTCTAAGAAGAACAGACATCGTGTATGGGATTGTGTATACCACAATGCGAGAGCTTTTTATTGCATAATTCGTGGCTGAGTTCATTTGCTTTGAGGGGAGGACAGATTTTGTTTGTTTGTTTGTTTTGTTTTTTTGTTTTTTTGTTTTTTTGTTGTTATCTTCATAAGAGATTTTTTGTGTTGTATCATATATAAGAGATTGGTTCAACGTTTTGCTGAGGTTGAATGCATTTTGCTTTTGTTGGCTTTCTTTATTTTTACTTCATTTGTTGAACATGTCGTTGTTATCAAGACGTTTTCATTTTACTCACTCATTTTTCTATAACTTTATTATTCTAAACTTTTTCAATATACCTAGTAATGAACTTTTTCAATATTTGATCTCTTTTGTGCCTCTCGTTTCTATTTTATACTTCCGTTTTCATTATCACAATGAAGATGTAAAGAACCATTTTTCAATTCATTATTTCTCACAATGCTGATTTATTTCCAAGGAATTCGTAAAATATTATAAACAAATGTTTTCAGTTTGTTCATGCTCATAATGATATTATATTTCTTAGAATGAAACCGTAGATTTCTTTTATACATGACATTCATTTTTAGAGTGAAATTTTTTCCATGTCGAACTTATATAAGTTGACCATATAATAAAAATGCTTGTTTCATTATGATCTTATCATTACGTTTCATTTGTATATTATCCTTTTTATGTAAAATGATATTCGTTTTGATAATGAAGATTAATTTACCACGTTTATGATTTTCTACATTTTAAAACTCGTTGGAGATGACTGTTATTTTGTTGTAAATTATTATATTCATTCTTGTCTTGTAATAATATTATCATTACAATATATGAAACATTTTTATTTATGAGTCCGTGCCTCATGTATTATTGTTGTTTCAGATTTCTTATAAATATTTATATTCAATTTGTTTCATAATGATATCTTTGTTAAAATAATGAAAATGATTACTATTGAATACATTTTCCCGTTTCTTATGTTTTATAAGTTCTATCTCATAATGATATTATCATTATATTAATGAAAATGTGTTCATTCCGTATTTTCAGATTGTATAGTCCTCATTTTTGGTGATTTTAGTTTTTTCAAAGAAAAATGCATTTGTGTTTAAATGGAATGTTTTTTTTTTCAATTTTTTAAATCATGTGTTATTATTTTTTTTAAAGAAATTTTCAATATTTAGATTTCATTTTGTAGTACATTGTTTTTTTTTCCTTTTTCATTATATAAGGATATAAAAGTATTTATATATACGTTAGAAGATAATTTTGTAAATAAATAAATAAGCAAACATTTTTAAATTTAGGGTGCTCCAAATAAATATGTATGTAAATATCTTGATTTTCAATAGTTCTTAATTCTTATGCAGTATGCGGAACGCTTACCATTGGGATTAAAAAAGATATTCAAAGTGTTATCATAATTGGGCAGGGGTGACTTTCTTAAAAAATAATAATAATAATAAGTTTAAGGAAGGAGATAATTAGATAAATTATTCAGGAAGTATTATCCAAAAATCCAAAAAGTGAAAAAGTTCCACTTTCATTTAAAAAAAAAAAAGAAAAAAACTGCTGGCTGTGGGGTTCGAACCCACGCGCACTTATGTGCAGTAGATCTTAAGTCTACC